TCTCTCTCTCTCTCTCTCTCTCTCTCTCTCTCTCTCTCTCTCTCTCTTCTCCCCTGCTCACTCTCTCTCTAAAATAAAATTAAAACTTAAGATTAAATTTCAAAAAATAAAAAGAAAAGAAAAACGTATTCTATCCAGCACAGGGAATAATTTTGGAATTGGCCTGGAACAGTTAAGAAGGTAAAGAGGTTAGGGAGGCTGAGTAGCAAAATGAACTATGGGGTTTAAAGTCAGGTCCTCTCCTACCCAGCTGAGTTGGTGTGGACAAGTTACTTAACTTCCCCAAATGTTCAATTTCTTTAAATAAAAACTGGGGATAATGTTTACCCCACCGAGTTGTTATATGTGTGAAGTTGAGTATTGAGGGAAAGGAGTATCTTCTGTAGTCTAGCAACTGCGCTGGGTTTATTTGCCACTCATTCAAGTATTAACATATGCCCATAATTTCCATTTATAAATGAAGAACTGAGAGAGAGAGAGAGAGAGAGAGAGAGATTGCCCAAGTTTCAGTAACTAGTAAATATTGGACTTGAGATTGAAATGAGAATGGGTGAAGGGACTTAGTCTGAGTGAAGGTAGTATGTGAGTTGAATGGAGACTACTCAAAATATATGTCCATGTCCTAATCCATAGAACCTGTGAATATTACCTTATTCAGAAAAATAGTCTTTGTTGATGTAATTAACTGAAGGATCTTGAGATGAAGAGATCATCCTGGATTATCAGTGAGTCCACCAACAAATGATGTCTTAAATGTGAGGCAGAGGCATATTTGACAGCCAGGAGAGGTGGAGGCAATGGTGACCACAGAGACAGAAATTGGAGTAATGTGGTCACAAGTCAGGGAATGCCAACAGCCACCAGAAACTGGAAGAGGCAAAGAATGAATGGTCCCCTGGAGACCCTGAAGGGAGCATGACCCCGCTGGATTTTTTTGACTTCAGCCCTCAAATCTGAGAGAATAAATTTCTGTTGTTGTAAACCATCCATTTAGTGGTAATTTTTTATTGCAGCCCTACGACATTAATACATGTGGGAATGGCTTCCACTCTGTGAAGGCCCTTGAGCACCTGAAAGGTGGACACAATATTGGACTGGTTCTGAGACTTACTGAGGGGATTCCTTCTGAGGGTCAGCAGGTCATCCATATGAAGCTGACTTTCTCAGGGCCTTGACAAGTAATCAAGAAAGTCATTTTAATGACTTAGCTCTTCTTTGGGTATCAGCTTTTCTTTGCAAAGAGCCATAAGAGATGAGGCCACTTGCCCCATTTTTCAGAGGGGGCAAACAGGGGGACAGGCTACTTATGTGACTTAGCCTGGACCGCTGAGTTGCTGAGTTAGAAAAGAGAGTGCCATGATTTGAACTCACATGTGGCATATGAATTCTCCTGCGAGAACAGCTGGTCTTCAGGATTGGGCCATCAACCATCTCGCTGCTTTCTACCTTTGGGCGTTAAGTATTGCTGAAAGTCACAAGGGTGGGTATTTTACCACAACGTTATCCCTGCCATTTAAGCTTGCTCTAGGATGAGGATTGAATTCCCCCCACACCTCAAACACTCTGGCCTCCTCTTTGGAATTGAAATTGGGGCTGAGCTGCCAGGAGAGCTCTCCTTAAATGCAATATATAAAGACAACCCAGTGGGTTAGCGGGAATCTGTTTTTATCTTATGGCTTCTAGATAAGTAGGTGAGGAGGAGGGATTCCAATGTGATACAGAAAAGAAGTCTGTCAGTAGAGGTTCTTCAATACTGACATGGGTTATGAAGGCAGCAGGGTTATTGTGGGTCTCTCAAAAGGAGGGCAGGGATCACTCCACCCTCTTCAGCTCTGCTCACTGAATTGTGAGTAGGGCGAGTTTTCCTGAAGCCTTTCTCTCCCCTCCATTTTAGATCCAGTACCTGAATTGTCTTGTGTAGTAGAGTGGACTGCACACAGCCTCTGGATTTGCATAGACTTGGGTTCAAATCCCAATTTTAATGTGTTTATTTACTTATTTTGAGAGAGAGAGAGAGAGAGAGAGAGAGAGAGAGAGAGAGAGAATGTGAGAGTATGTGAGCGGGGGCGGGGGACAGAGAGAGTGGAAGAGAGAATCCCAAGTAGGTTCTGCGCTGCTAGCATGGAGCTTGATGTGGGGCTTGATCTCACAAACGCTGAGATCATGACCCGAGCTGAAATCAAGAGTTGGACACTCAACAAACTGAATCACTCAGGCACCTTTATATTTTTAAATGCTTTATAGTTTTAAATGGGCAGGGGTGAGTCTCTTTGGCAGGGCTGTGGTGGAGTCACATATTAGACACTTGATAAATCTTTCTTATGGGGATGAGGGATGATAACAACTTTAAATGAGCACATTGCACACTCCTTACCTGGATTATTAATTCTCCCAAGCACTCTAGAGAGGTAGGTACTATTGCTAGTTCCATTTTGTAGAAACTGGGCATTAGGAGCTGAAGTCAGGAGTCCACATTCCCACAGCTTATAGGAGGGAGGGCCTGATTCTATGCTTGGCCTGTCTCCAAAGACCAGGCTCTTAACCATGGTTAAAGCACCTGCCATGGTACCAGACACTCACTAGGTGTTATTAAGTGATGCTACTTAGTCTGAATTCAACAAGTATATATAAAGAGCACCTATGTTCTGGGCACTATTTACTCCTGAAAACATCTAGGCAAGTGACCTGGGAAATGCTGGGATGAATCAGTTAGGTTTGATTAAGGAAGCAGTACCCTCATGAGTACTGGGGGTGACAGGGAGGAAGGGATTGGTTGTAGGGCTGAGACTTACCCAGTGATGGGTCTGAAGTAGCTATAGATCAGCAGGGCCAGAAGTCTGGAAGAAAAGCCAGATGTGAGGTGGGAGAGAGTGAGGCGAAAGTGAAACCCCCAAAGGAACTTTTATTTTTCTCTTGCCACTTTCAACCTTGACTTTGAAACCAAAAGCTGGTACCCTTTACCACAGAACGGGACATAAGCTTTGCTCCAGACTCAGAGTAGCTGAAGGGGAAGATGTGGCAGGAGCTGGGGAAGGCTGTGGGCCCACACCAACAGGGAAAGTCCCCGGATGGGTCACAATGTGTTGACAAGTTTGAAGCAGCCCCCGTAGCCACACACTGACCTTCACAACATGAAAGCTGCCGTTTCACTTCTACCTTCCGAATGCTCCACAAATATCTGTTGTAGGCAATCCTGAGGAACTACATACAGAAGGTAATTCTAGGAAGGAATTAGTTAAGTTGGCCTGATGCAAAACCGCTGCACCGATGTTCCAATGGTGCCACTTCACTGATGCACATGGCCTTACTGAGGTACAGAGGGTAGGTAACCTCTTGGAAGGCACATTGAGACAGAGCCTTCTGACTCACTTCTTCCCTGGCAGCCTTGGCTCAGACAGAAAAAAAGAAGAATGTACCTGTGATCCTACTTCCCAAAGAAAGCTCTTGTCAACATTTTGGTGTGAAGACTTTGTAGTCTTTTTCTTAGTTCAAGTATACACCTAGTTCAAATATTCAAGAAAAATAGAATCTTAGCATACATGATATTTTATAACCTGTTTTTCTTTTAGTGTGAATAGCCTTTTCCATGTCATTAATATTATTCCTTAACATTGTTTACATCTGCGTAAGAATTCCACAGCATGAATGTACCTAGTTTATCTATGAAGTGGTTAATGGCATAGTCTCTGAAGACAGACTACAGGGGTTCAATTCCAAGGTCTTCCAACATTTGCTAGCTGTGAAAATGGGCAGGCGAGTTAGCTATCCTCAGTTGCCTCACCTGCAAAATGGGGAAATAGTACTTCCTTCAGAGGGCTGTTCTGAAGAACAAATGACTTTTTATATGTAGATAACCTACCTCTATTCTGATATTATTTAATCAACCTTCTAAATTGAATATTTAGATTGTTCCCAAGCCTTTCACCAAGGCTTTCACTTTTACACATACACCATAATTAACAAATTAAGTATAGTAAATATTTGTGGTTACATTAGGGAATCTCTTCCAGAGTGAATCATTGAGTGTCCATAATGTACAAAACATTATGCTATACACAAAGAAAAATGAACACAGTTCTCTTCCTTAAGACATTTGAAATGCAGTGGGGGTGGAGAAAAGGCACATTCATATACAAATATAATACTATGTACAAACATACCAGCATGTAGACAGAGGGCACAAATGAAGAACCGTGGGAGAGGAGAACACACCTTCAGCTGGGGAATCAGACAGGCAATGGAAGAGATAGAAAGACTTCGCCCTCTGCTCCCATCACCTCCCAGATCCTCAAATCAGAATTCAGAGTGGTTTTCGTTTGTCAGGTTCAGAATTTGTTACCTCGAGAGAGAGCACCAAGGGCTGTGTTCCAAAGGTTCCAGGGATACAGGTGTACAATGCAAGACCAAATATTTAGGAAATACCTTTTTTTCTGGAAAAGGAAAGAACACATTTCACAGCTGAATAGAGAAGTGAAAAATGAAACTAAAGAAGCATGAAGGTAATATTTACTTGCTAGATTTATACGGTGCCTACCTTTAGAAAAGCCTGGCTATAAATCCAGCATGTGCCCTCCCCTCACGCCCCCCGCCCCCCCCCCACATACATATACTCTGTTCTGTTATCAGGCTCTGAATTCTCTGAAGCACATTTTGCGGTCATTTTACTATCATTTTAAACTCTTCATCCTTCTACCCACCCCAGATCACTCTCAAACATCCTCTCCAAGAGTAGATGTTTGGAGTCAGACACTCCTAGGCTAAATCCAGACTCTACAGTTTACCTGCTGGGTGACCTTGGACATGTAACTGAAGTCTCTAAGTCTCAGTTTCCACATCTATAAAATGGGGACCCGAAGAGCAATATCACATCACCTATTGCACCTAGTGCTGCAATGAGGATTACATGAGTGAGGCCTGTAAAACACTTACACAGTGCAGATCACTCAATGGTGTGATCACTTATCACTCTGACATAGGCCTATAAGGAAGGCCTTAAGGAAGAGAACTGTGTTCATTTTTCTTTGTGTGTTCATTTTTCTTTGTGCATCCTGAAACTAAGTGGAAGAGATATTTAGATTTGTGTCATTTCTAATTTTTTCTGTTAGGTTGAAAATTGAGTATGAAAACACCAGAAAGGTGAAGAAGTCAGATTTCTTTTGTAACCAACAAAATCTAGACTGTTTCTAAATCTAGGCTGCTTTTCTAAAGGTAGGCACTGAATAATCTAGACTGTTCACAGGAGAATGAGGATGACTGATAATGTGTAATGCCTCTCCCAGGGGGCATTTGCATTTTCAACTGGGGCCAAAACCCTTGGCCAAAGGAATGAAGATGGAATGGTGGGATTTCAGCTACCAGGCAGGGGACAGTGGGAAATATTTTGATGCAGTGAATTTTAGTACTCCTAAACCATTTCAGGTACTCATTCATTCATTCACTCATTCATTCATTCAATGCATATTTATTAAGTAACTACTGTCTGCCAGACATTGTTTTATGCACTTGAGATATAATAGTGAACAAAATAGACAAAGATCTCTGTCCTCATGGGTTTCACATTTTAGTGGGGGCATAAAGACAATAAATAATATAATTAATGAATAAGTAGGCTTTATTACGTTACGGATTAAATACCATGTAAAAACTAGAGAAAAGGGGAGAGTGGCAGTCCTGGGGGGAGGTTGGACAGGTTGCATACTAAATATGGTGGTTAGGGGGCGCCTGGGTGGCTGGGTCGGTTAAGTGTCTGACTTCAGCTCAGGTCAAGATCTTGCAGTTTGTGAGTTCGAGCCCCGTGTTGGGCTCTGTGCTGACAGCTCAGAGCCTGGAGCCTGCTTCGGATTCTGTGTCTCCCTTTCTCTCTGCCCTCCCCCTGCTCACGCTCTGTCTGTCTGTCTCTCTCTCAAAAACAAACAAACAAATAAATAAATAAATTAAATAAATATGGTGGTTAGGATGAGCCTCATTGAGAAAGTGACATTTCCCCACTGTTTTGAAGGAAGTGAGGGAGTTCACCAACTGGACATCTGAGGAAAGAGTGTTTCTCAATGGGGACAGTTAGAGCAAAGGGCTCAGGGAATATGTGTGTGTGTGTGTGTGTGTGTGTGTGTGTGTGTGTGAGAGAGAGAGAGAGAGAGAGAGAAAGAGAGAGACAGAGAGACGAGAGATGGAAAGGGAGAGGGAGGGAGATGGAGATGGGGAGGGAGAGGGGGAGACAGGAACTGAGAGAGACACAGAAAGAGAAAGTGGCAGTGGGAGAGATCATTCCTGTAAGTGCTTGGGGAACAACAAGGATTCAGTGTGGCTGGAGCAGGTGGGCGAGCACTAGGAGATGAGAAGGTGTGCACTACTGTTCAGGTGAGTTTGTAGGCTACTCTAAGGAACTTGGCTTTTACTAAGTGAAATGGGAACCACTGGAGGGTTTTGAGCAGAGGAGTACAGTGATGTGACATTTTAAATGGATCGTTGTGACCACTGTATTAGGGATATACCAAAGGTGGGGAGGGAAAGGTACACCAGCGGGATCAGCTACTGCAGAAACTCAGGTGAAGGATGATGTTGGCTCAGACCAAGGGGGCAGCAGGGGAGGAAATGAGAAGTGGTAATATTCTGCATTTATCCGAAGGTAGAACAAAAGGGATGTAGGAGGATGAGAGAAAGGAGTCAAGAATGACTCCAGGTGTTTGGTCCCATCAGCTGGGATGAGGAAGGCTGTGTGAGGAGGAAGGCACAGAACATAAGGAATTCAGGGTTTGGATATGTCAGGTTTGAGGTGTCTATCCGACTCCCAAGTGGAGACTGAGGTTGGCTGTGTAGCCTGGCACTCAGGAAGTCTGGGCCGGAGATACAAATTTGAGATAGACAGTTGCTTAAAGGCATGAGGACAGATGGGATCACCCAAGGAATGAGTGTGGATGGGAAGTGAGGCGGTCTGAGGGCGGGAAGGTAAAGGTTTTCCCAGAGGGAATTGCAGGTTCCCCTGCTAGAGCTGACGAAGGTCCATTCTAGAGCAGCCCGGGCCTGCAGGGGGTGCCCTGGAACTGGCTGTGGTTGCAGTGATGGAGAGAAATGTTTGCTTCTCCGGGAAGGAGAGACGCTCAATAGATTCCTTCGGGAGTGGCAGGAATAATTAAGAGAAGTAGGTAAGGATATCCTAGTAGCACACGTGCTCGGCTGCCTCCAAGGAATTGGAAAACCTGGGTCTATTAATCTGTTCAGACATCTGGGCACCACCGCCTAGCCTACGAGGCCCCGCCTCTCCAGCCCTTTCTCTCTCTCTCCCCTCCCCTCTTCCCATCCTCGCCTCTACATGTCACTTCTACAACCGCTCTGATTATAATTGATCAAACAGAATCACGGAATCACGGCTCATTTTGCTGTTTTGTTCAGTGGCCCGATCTGCAAAGAGACTCTGGTAGTTGGGCAGATTGTATTCTCCCCTCTTGGAATTCCGCTCACAGAGGCCTTCCCGTCGTGGTCTGCCGCGCAGGGACACGCCGGTGCCGCCGAGGATAACGAGGGCGGGGGGCTGGAGGCAGGCGGGGTGGGGGTGGGGGACGCGGCGCCGGCGGCGGGGCGCGAGGGG